CCCTAACTTTGGGAAACACTGGTCTAGAGCCCTGTGAAATTGGTTCTTCTGGGTCTCAGGAGGATATAACTTGACATTTTATATATTTAAGTGAAATAATATAAGATAATAAGATTCAACTAATGTTAATGAAATTGCAGACTTTTACGTGTCATTATTTTTAAAAAATCTGCACAATCTTTTAATAAATATCAGTAATATTTCTGTTATTAATCAATATTCTCTGTTCATCCTTCTGGTTTATCCAAGGCCAAAGATCATAGGGTCAAACTACAGGAGTTATCCATCTGAGGGACATGTGTCTAAAAGAAATTTAACCATGAAATGTTTAAGATGTTTATAAGACGTTCAGCTCTTAAACATTTGCACTTAGAATTTTATAGAATCACTTTAAATACTTTTCAGTAAGTTATAATTCTTGGACATTTCTGGTTCAAATAAAGAACTTCATGTTTACTAGATTGTTAACTAATTATTTGCGACTCGAGTTAATTGCCTTAATAAACAGTGATTAAAAAAATTAGATAACCTGTGAAACTCTGACGTTAAATGCGACGTGGTTGAAAATTTGGGTGCACCTAACTTTTGTGCTGCTGCGCCTAAAAAAGAAAAATATTAGGCGCACCGGTGCAACCAGTGCAAAAAGTTAGTCTAGAGCCCTGCATATGAATGTAATTTATATTGTGTTAATGTAATGTGGTTTCGTAGTATTAAAGAATTTATTTAGCTTATTTTTCCGACTTGTTCAACAAATAAATATACCTCTCAGACTGGGCTTACCACAGCTACAACCTGTCAAACAGCAGCCACGGTCTGTAGTGTGGAGCAAGGTTGAGGTAACGTCACACTCAGTACCTGGGGTTGTTACTTTGACTGGTTAGGCTGTTTGGATTAGTGAGAACATGTGATCACACACAACACCTGTCAATCTGTGCCTTTAAAAAAAGCCATTTTCTCCCTGAGAGCCTCTAATGTTTGACTGAGACCTCAACAGAACCAAACACTCAAACTCAAAAGTTGTTACAGCTAATCATCGTGTTTAGGAAAAGCTTTTTGTTTTACATTAAAACCACTAAATGATAAAAGATTTCTTACAGTTTAACCATAAAAAAGAGTGAGTCTGAGTACAAACAGAATCATATTTACCAACATCTGTTTCTACAGTTGTGTTTGACAGAACACTGGGAAACTGGGTGTGCAAATTACAAACTGGGTCTATACCATTAAAAGGGTCCAGGAGCAAAGCCCATCAGCACACCTGTGGTACTGACCCATCCATGTAGTAATAATGATAACTTCATGCAGTTTAAATCTTGGAACTCTGCACATCTGAAATGAGTGGTAGCAGTATACATGGAGATTAGATTTTTCATTCTTTTTAAGCTTAAAAAATGACGCGCGTATTATACTTAAGATGGTAATATACGAGAATAAATACAGTACTTCCAAATTGAGTTTTATGATTTTATATGTTGTGCTATATGAATATAACATCTGGTAACACCATCAGCTTCACAACCTGACTGTAGGCAGAGCTATGTCATCACGTCAGTTACAACCTGAGCCTGTGTCTACCTAATTAACTTTATGGTGATTAATGACGTTTGTTTTTGGTTTTAACTGTTTTTTTATGTTCTTGTTTCTAAAAGATGTGAAATCAGAGTTCGTGTTGCTAATGTAATGTGGTACAAAGGTTACTGAGAGACTACTGGCCCTGGTAGTATTTATTTATCATAGTCAGTGGTGGGCACCGTTCCCCTAAAGCACTAAAGCACTAATAGGTGAACTAATTTCCTGATTAGTGCTTTAGGGCTTTTGCTAATTTTAAAATTTATTAGTGGATTAGCACTTGCTAAATTTAGAAGCACTAGCTGAGGTCTATAAATGTTATTGATCAACGTTAATGTTAACAGCTGAGGGTGAAAACTGTCACTCATTTTGTTCATATGTGTCACTGATCCACCAGGTGACATATTAAAAATATATGAACTCAAATCCAGCTGTGGAGTCGATGCATCTTAAGAGAGCAACATGTAACTCGTTGTCTGTTGAATGTTCATGGGTTGACTGGGTTATTTTAGTGCTTTAGAATTAGGAGACGTAAATATTTGAATTAGTGTTTTAGGGCTAGTGGAACATATTTTTAAATGAGTGCTGCCCACCACTGATTATACAGTCTGCAGTTAGCATGGGCTGATCCTCGAGTGGGTCTGTTGTTGGTTTTTGTAACACAAGAATCGATGTACATCAGGGGTAAGATTATTCACAAATTTCAAAATTCATTTGATGTAATAAAACTTAAATCATCAAAACGATGCCTTTTTAAAATCAGATGGTGGAGCTATTTTATTGGTTCTGACCCATTATTTTCTAAGCTAGTTTTTATAAAATACCAAGTTTAACTGTAACAGGCGTCACGTATGAGCTCTTTAGACATCAGTGAGGATATTTCATTTTATCACAATCAGAGGCCCCAAAATCAAGCCTGAAATGCCCATCGTCATGATATTGACTGTTTATCAATAATCTGTCAATATGAAACACAAACCAAATTATTGCTTGTTCTAAAAAAGTTGTAAGTTTGTGTAACGAGCTGTGATGGTATAGAACAGTGGTTCCCAAACTTTTTATCTTCTGACACAGAAAATATTCATGGCAAAAACTTGTGACCCCAAATATTACTGGTCTGGGTACACAAACTTTGTTAATAACCCTAAAAACAAAAGCTACACAAATATAAATACTTATTTATACTGATTTTGTGATTTTGTAATTGTTATAGGGAAAATATTACATCACCAATTATTTTATTACACTTTAAATTGATTTCTGAAGTGCAGTGGTTCACAAACTTTTCAGCTTTGACCCACAAAATAACAGCAGCAGAGACCTGAGCCCACAACTGTTTTTGGATGATAAACATTTGTATCAGGTCAACTAAACATGGGCATAGCAACAATATTTTTTATTCTACATTTATACATTCTAGGCAACTAAGGCAAAAATGTAATTAATTTAGAAAATATTTTCAGGACCCCATCTTGATGTTTCAGGACCCCACTTTGGGTCCCGACCCCAAGTTTGGGAACCACTGGAGAAAGTACTGCTTCAATCAAATAATCAAATTTCATTTTTTAACATAAATATTAATATTTGCTTTATTTAACTGTTGTGTGTTTGTTTGTCTCATCTTGCCCGCCCTGACAGCACATGACTTGAGTAGTACTCATGTTGTTACTTGTACTTGTACTCAGTCTGACAGGACGTGGTGTTGGTGCTCATGTGAAACAGGACTTCAGCAGGTTTTGACACCTAGACCAGGGTGCAGATTAGGGCTGCCACAATTAATCGATTAATCGACGACTAATCGATCATTAAAATAATCGATGACTAATTTAATAATCGATTAATCGTTTTCTTTTCTTTTTTTGTTCTTTACTTTGTTTTTCTCTCCAAACTGCTTTGACACCTTCCACTGCCACGTCTGCCTTTCTGTCCTTGACACACATGCACAGTAGTGGTAACTGGGGTAGGCCGTGGACGTCACAAGACATTATACAGACAGGCTCTGGTATCATGGCTACCTGACAACAGAGCTCAAAGTGTGGGATCATTTTAAGAAAATGAAAGAGAAACCTGTGTAATATCTGCAGAGCAGAACTTACCTTCCACAGCAATTATTTTTAGTTAGCATATAGCTAAACTCTAACCATGGTTATATAATAGCAGCTGCATTCTGACGTGATAAGTTTTATGTTTTATATTCAATTAACGTATGATCTGATTAGTCGACTAATCGAATAAATAATTGGTGATTAATCGATTATAAAAATAATCGTTTGTGGCAGCCCTGGTGCAGATAGATATTAATATCTGATCTAAGAACAAAACAGTGCTTACAGTGATAGACTTCACTGCATGTCCATGCAGCAGTGACATAGAGAACTGACACATTAATTTGATGGTCATGTGCCAGTAGCTGTACCGCTCAGGGAGTGAAGCACCATCAGTTATAAACAACAGCCGCCCAACTTCTTCATGTTCTGTGAGACAGTGGAGCTGCTGACTCACCCAGTGTTTCCTCTCCTTAAACATAGATGTGATATTTTCACTGTGAGTGTGTGTGTGTGTGTGTGGCGAGGTTTATACACGTTGTGTTACTGATGAGCACTGATACAAGTGTTAATGTAATTAAATGTTTTTCTGTGTGTGTGTTGAAGGCATCACTCAGGCTACGCTCTCACTGCAGGTAAATGTGACCCAGCGACCTGTTTCATCAGACTTTACCTCAGTGAGGTCAGGACAAACGTCCGTGTGGTCGTAATAATAATAAGTTGATGCAGTTTAAATCTGCACGTCTTCAGCTGCAGAGCTGAAGTCCAGTTTTTTCGTCTTGTTTTAATTTGTCAGATCTTGCAGGACTGAGACTCTCCAGTATATGATGCTAACGTTTGTGTGAGACCGTATCCATGCTAACATGATGGAATCCATACCTGAGTAATTTCTACCTTCAGTTTGACGTTTCTCTTCAAAAATGTAATCCTGCTCCAAAGCAGCCGTCGAGTCCAGATTAAATCTAACGACTGAAGCGAACGAGCAGCTCAGGTATTTATCGGATCAGTTCTGAGGTCGCAGCAGATCCAGACTGGATGTAAACACAGTGGGCTGAGTGTGACTTCCTGTCTCTGTGGATCTGTTCAGAGCTGTGAACGGTCTGATGGAGGTCGTATCTGAAACATGAGGTGAACGACCCAGAAACACATCAGACCTGAGCAGAAAGACCTGCAGTGTGAACGGAGCCTGATGAAACTCACGTTTGGACAGGATCTGAGTGAGAGCAGTGTTTTCAAAGCTTTTCTCTGTGTGTGTGTGTTTGTGTGTGTGTGTGTGTGTCTGCCTGTGTGTAAACCAGTGATCAAGCTGTTTGTCTGGGTGGGCTCTTTGTTTTGATTTCTTCTCTTCTTCTCTCCGTTCCAATGCTTCCCCCCTCTCCTATGAAGCAAGGACAAGTTTGGAAGGTTTGCAAAATTTCTCACCTTCCACTGATGAACCCCCTTCCTCTCTCACCCTCCTCCTCCTCCTCCCCCTCCCCCACCTCCTCCTGGCTACCTGTACTGATCTGTTGGTCCCCTCCTTTGTACCCCACTCCTCCTCTTCATGTTTGAGTCTGTGATGCTGAGGATTTGGCCTGGGCTCCATCCACTCCTTCTGACCCACTCTGCAGGTTCTGTTCCTTTGTTTTTGCTGCATAAAAAGAAGATAAAATAAGAAATATTTCATTGTTCTCTAAGGGAAATTTGTTTCTGGCAGAGGAACACATCAAGACCAAAAATGTCACGGTCCAATTTTAAAACGATTTGATCCAAAAGGCTTTGTCATTTAGAGACATATGTCACTATTATGTGGTTACATTTTCACATGTTGGAGAAATATCGTTGCTAAAATTTAGATTCAACACATTTGACCAAAATTACCAATCACTGACGTGAATATATTAATTTAATGACAGAATTATGTAATATTTTTTATTCTTTATAATCAACTCATTTATTATTTATTATCTTCTTCAGACACAAACCTTGAGTTTAATGTTCCTGACAGAGTTAGATTAGTTACAGTTAGATTACAGTATAAACCAGAAACAAGCAGCTCACACGCCTCTGAGGATTATGGGTACATGTTACTCAGGTGATACATGCGTTTTACATAAACACAAAGTTTCCCACAGGTTTATGAGGGTTAGTTTCCTCATCCCACATTGCAGGAGTTTTAAACGTAAAATGTTTTCAACCAAAATATTAACAGGAAGTTTCCTCTCAGAGCAGTCAGATCTCAAACCCTGAAACTCTAAAGTTGTATTTTTCTGTCTGTAAACTCCTAAAGGATTTTGACCCAGACTTCAACACCCGATGTGCAAATTTATGTTCAGTGTGATTCCAAGTAAAAATGTAACATTTCTGGTGAATTTGAGGTTCCAACCAGTCCTCAACAGTCCAGTGAGGTACAATGTAAGTTGTTGTTTGAGACTCAGGACATCTTTACACAGCAAAAATGCCAGTGTTAATTTAACACCCACAGTGTTAATTTTAACACCGACAAAGTGTCTATATGTGTCCACACTTGCTGGTGCTAAAATAACATTTGTGAAAGTGTTAAATTTTAACACTCATTTCTTTGTTAATTTAACACCAACCAGTGTTTTAATATTCAACAATTCTTGGTGTCACATTAACATAAAAATAGTGTTTGTGTTAAATATTCAGCAATACGGGGTGTCATTTTAACATTTCAACAGTGTTAAAATGGTGTTGAAAGTAACACCCGTGTATTATTATTTTTATTAACGAAGGAAATTGTGGTGTTTGTAAAATTAACAGACTCCACAAGGTTTTAACACACCATCAAATTGAGAGTGTAAATTCAACACTCAGAGTTAATATCAACTCTCAGTAGTTAGTAGAAAAGTATAATGGAGTCACCCTTCTTCACACACCAGGAAGTACCTCTCACTCATGGTGTTGATTTTTGGCCAAAAACATGAACCCAAAGTTGAACAACTTGATCAAACTGAACAAGAAAACTAACCAGAACAATTAATTTTTACTCTCATGAGTGTCTTTAACAGTCATAAACATACAAAAACGTCATTTCTGCAAGATTTCTCAGCAAGGAATGCTGGGTAAATGCTGGTCTGTCTGACATGAGGTGGAAGAGGGCGGAGCTTTTCAGAATGCTTCTTTCAACACTTCATGGTGTCATATAACAACACTGTTTAGTTATATAAAAGACAACTGTGGGCGGAGCTTATTTAACACTGTCCAGTGTTGAGACAACACTGAGGAAACCAACACTGTGAATTAACACCAACACTGGGTGTGAGTGTACTCAGAAAGTGTTAAAATAACACTAGAGGGTGTTAAATCAACACCCAAAAGGTTAACACTGAAATTTTAACACTCCTGTGTTTGCTGTGTAGGTTCTAACTTGTTATAATTATTATTATTATTATTTTAGAAATGTATTCATTTAATTAAAAACCTAACAACTGTATAAAAATTCAAATAAATTAAATCCAGCTGAAGAAGAATAAATCTTATAATATCTGCCCCTTTATAAATAAATGTAAAACCTTCTAGTTTTAGTACCACGCCACAAAGTTCTTTACCGTTTAGAGCAGGACTGTCAGACAGGAAAATACTTCACTACCTAAAAACAGAAAAATCTTGTTTTATCACAAAGATATTCTGAAAAACTGTAGAAGAAATGTTTACTTTAGGATTTCTAGAAGCCTTTCCTCTGGGGTTTCTGGCTCTGATAAATTGTGAGGGTCAACAAAGATGTCACCACCTCCATTTAGTTAAAATTAGATTAATAATTTCTAAATATTTACTCTGGTATGTGAAAATACTGTACTCAATTACTAGTAGGGTTGGGCGATAAATTGATTTAATTGATTAATTTGAATTTTCCATTTATAAAGATTTAATTTAGGTAAAATCTAGATTTTTTTCCCACCAGTGCTCTCTGGGGCTTCTGTAGATCAGAGGTCACCCCACCTGTCCCTCAAGAAGCTTGGTACAACATGACAATATGGCAGCTAGCAAAGAGGATCTACTTCTGAAAAAGGCACTGTGTCTTCAGTTTTCTGGAACTGGTGAGGTTTTACCACCTCAGACTTGGAGCAACAAACACCTCACTGCAAAATCTGTTTGAAGACTCTTGATACAAAAATCAGGAGAACAACAAATTTGTTTCGACACCTGAATCAGAGACACTCCGTTAAGTGGGAAACAATCAATTAAAATCAAATTTGGGGTGAAAAGAATCTGACTTTTTTTTGGGGGGGTGCATATCACCCAGCCCTAATTTCTAGCAGTTTTTTTCCACTTTAGTGAGACTATCAGCTAGGGATGCACCAATATGAAAGTTTCAACCGATATTGATATCCGATATTAATATTAGTGTTATTGCCGATAACCAATATTTACTGATATTACACAAACACACAAATTATATTATACATATATGCACAAACACACTTGTGTCTTTTTTTTGATACGGTAAATAAATGACCAGGCCTCTGACATGGCTTCCTACTTCAGTTATTCCTGGCTATGCTGTGTCCATATCACTATCACGATCAAGATACCACTCAACCAACCATTTTGCCTCCCAAAACAGAAACACAAAGCTAAAACATGGAAAATCAGTATCGGACGTTAATATCAGCCCCGTTTTACGTATCGGGCCGATACCTATATTCTAAAAAATGACCAATATTGGCCGATACCGATGTCAATGCCAATATATCATGAGTCCCTACTCTCAGCAAAATAAGTGTTAAATAAAATGAACTGATTTATCAAATGTTCCCTCCGCATTTATGATTTAATTTACTCGAGATGAGTTAATCTGCTTCACATGAAAACATAAGAACCTTTATTTAGACTCTTGATCAATAATGTCTATCTAATCTACTTCTAATTCAGTTGTGGTTTGTTTTAGATGCACCGACACAAAAACAATGTTAGTTAGGAGATATTTAATCCTTCAAAGCTGTTGGGTTTATTTTGTGAATTGGTTTCAGAATATTTTGGTCAATAATCCTGTCCAATGTGAGAACTGGTTCAAGTGGTCAGATGGTTCTTAGCAGGTTGTGGTGGTTCTGGAGTGGGTCAGTGATCTCATGAGTCCGTCCTTTCTGTCGAGCCTTTCTTCTGCTCTTCTCTCAGCAGTTCCAGTCCCTTCTTGTGAGAAAGAAAAGGCTCACTGTGAGAAGTGACAGACATAAACGAGTTCACTTCAGGGAGGAAGTGGTTTGCGGTGGACTCAAACATTGCATCCAGTAATTAGCAGGCGTAATTAGTTTTCAGATGTACGTTTCCCCGGCCCGCTGCTATGTATTCAGGGTCCCCCACCGTCTGTCAGGGAGTGTGGGGCCCTTTGAGAAGCTCGGCCATTAATTTCTACCTGGAGTGTAGAAACAATGGTGGGGGCCAGACCCAGGTCTGTTCTGGTATCCAGACAACAGCCTCTTCCTGTCCCTTCCCGTCTGCTATGATTTTCAGCTTTCTCTCATGTCCCCCATCCCTTCATCCACTCCCACCCTCCTTCCATCCATCCCTCCATCAGCCCCAACCCAGTCAACCAGCTTACTCCACCAGCCTCCACCAGCACTAATGGACACCACACCAAATCAAGTTATTAATTGGTTTGAATAATTTTGTCCTGATAAAATAACAAAACCTTTCAAAAAGTAAAACAATTACTGAAATGTGATTACGTCTTTGATGGTGTCATGTGTACTGAAGTAATTCAGATCACTTGTTTAATCATGTATGATAGAAACTGTTAACTGAAATTTAATTTAAGTTATGCATGTTTTAGCCCATTATTACATTTTATTTCTGATGTAAAGAAATGCTGCTGAACACAAGGGTTAGGGCTTCTCACAGTTCAGAGTGCTACAATGAGATTTACTAAATGATTATCTGAAGGCATCATTAATGGCATTTTAAACTAAATCCTGAGAATAAACTCTGTCAGATCTGACCGGACTTTAGGAATCAAATGAACAAAAACAAAGTCACAACTTAGAGTCTTACTGAGTTCTGAGTATTTGTTACCATGTAACCAGTTTTGAGAAAATTGTGATTTAGTCTTGTACTCACGACCTGCAAAACTGTATTATTTTGTTGCCCACTTTGGTCCACTAAGGCCCCCTCTCCTCAGTTCAGCCTCGGCCAAATATGTCTCCATTTCTGGTTCCAACTGTGCTTTCAGAACCTCAGCAGTGGTTCTTAGCAGGTAGAACAGAGTATTGTGCGTTAACAACCTCTGCCCGTGGATTGGCTGAGCCGAGGCAGAACTTCTTCTTCCTGGAGAGAAGTGATGGAGGTGAGCACAGCTCGAGTGTCTGAAATCACCAGACATCCCAGGAGGTTTCGTACAAACTAGCCGCCCACGGTTACACACACTTACAAACAGTGCCGTAAAAAAATAATTGTCCAACTACCAA